GGCCTACAAATTTAGTATCACCATCTTTTTATTCTACCGGGCCTGCGCTTTCAGAAAATATATGGTTTGGGGGGTCTTTTACAAACGCTAGCAACGCAGCAGTTGAAAATCAAATCAATAGGAAAAAATTGCAGAAAATTCAAAAATGGCTTGGCCAGCTGATTTGAAAAATGTTCCGGAGGGCTTGGCAGCGAAAGGGTTAAAACAGGGTTAAATGGTTAAAACAAATACGCCTTTTTTTATTTATAGCCTTACGTTTTATCCATACAGCAGGTGGCCATACTTGTTGTTAAGATACGCAGGCTTTGCTTCCTGTTTAGTTGTGCAGCACAGTGATTGCGTTTTGCTGCTTCTCTCAGTCACACGACAATTTGTTCTCCGCAGTCACTGAGCAAGGGTGCTGATTGTAAAGGCTAACACAGAGAATACTAATAAAAAGAGGAGATTTAAATGTTTATACGACATGCCACTGTGAGAATATGAGAACAGAAACATGTGCAAATGTCATATATAATTGCTTTAAACTGTATTGCTATAAATCAATGAGCTGTTTGCTCTGTTATCTTTGGAAGTGCTTGTTGGCCTCCTGGCTTTAGGTGATTTTCTTGCACTTGGGCAGCTTAGTGGCTAGTGTCCTGCCTTGAATCCCAACCAGGATAATATCTGTATGGAGTTTGCATGTTCTCCCTGTGTGAGTGTGTGTGTGTTTTCTCCACACCCCAAAGACATGCTGCTGGATAATTGGCTCCAGTCTAAACAGGCCCTAGTATGTATGCATGTGAGATATTAGATTGTAAGCTCCATGAGGGTTCCAGGGACCGATGAGAATGTACAATGCGTAAAGCGCTTAATAAATTGTTGCCGCTATATAAATACATGTGATAAATTAAATTAAATAATACACAGGCTTCAGTCCTAATGGTGTGTTTCTCTTCACAGTTGGGGAATGGCGGTCAACGTGTACTCCACCTCGATAACCCAGGAGACTATGAGCAGACATGACATCATTGCATGGGTCAATGATATATTGTGTTTAAACTACATAAAGGTCGAGCAGCTTTGTTCAGGTATGATATGCTCTGCATGTGATCAATAATTTGATGTTCTGGATTGCTTGTAAATATGCATGTTATGAATGTTTATTTTCATGAAACGTATTGCTTTATCATGCCTGTGAGTTTTACATTCACACCATGCTGTTTTATAGGAAAACACATCATGGAAAATTCAGGAGAATGTTTACAGCTTATTACGAGCACAGTTAATTATGTTTCACAATTTATTTAGTTAAACCCAGCAATGTATATGTAAGTTTAGATTGCCAACCGGAACTGTGTAAAGAACAAGTATAGCACAAAAATGTTACAAAATATACACATTGTGCCAGTAAAAGAAATCATGTTACCAGGTGTGCTTATTCTTAATATTGTATAACAAACACATTTAAATAAATAAGAAAACAAGGTGTTGAATACTTGTATAATTAATTACATTGTATAATTGGATAATTAATTACATTGCAGATTGTAACAGAATGTATAAATGCATAACATTATGTGCAACAGAGCCACTTAGGCAGTGGTGCTCAGTCCTGTAACATCATAAATGTTAACTATGTGGCACTACAAGTCCCATGAGTTATTGCAGCCACAGGCATGACTCCCAAAGGTAGTTTCACCACAGCTTGAGTGCTGAGGTTGCCTAACCCTGCAGTTAGGTGTCACTGTCTGGCCAATCGTTTGACAAAGAAATCCAACATGCAAAAAATAAGGTCCTGGTCATTGCGAAGAGCATCTGCTATTATTTTGAAGTCAGGAGACTGTGCACCTGACCTATAGGTTTCTGCACATACCTGTAAATCTCTGCCGACATTTAGGGGTTCTCAAATCAGGCGCAGTGTTATGGAAATTTCTATTCCTGAAATGAAGTTTGGGTCCACCGTCTATAACTCTCTGTTGGTCCATATGCATTGTTTGGCCTCACTCGCCAATAGTGGAGACCGAATCGGAGGCAGACACAAGACATCCGCATTTGCAAAACATGCGGCTCTCTGGTAGAGATCTAAACGTATGTGCAGATATCTCTCATTGCCTGCTTCACAATCCTGTTTACTGACTCCCATAAGTAAAGCTTGCCAAAGACTTCTTTCAGTCTTGAACTAATGTTCTTCATAGATCAGCAGTGGTAGTCTGCTTAATTCGGTTATTTCATTTTTGCTTAATTCATGTTACACGTCCCATCACCTATTTCCATTACTTTTTCAATTGGACCTCCAGTTTTTACCTCTGATGGAGTAATCATCTATTAGTGCCCATAATGTTCAGTTTCTGATTAATCCCTGCTGCATGGGTACAATAGCAAACCTGCCAATGGCAGCACTCCGTGCTGAAATTGGTGCCAGACTTTACCACACACACACTGCTACTCACACAGTATTTACCAATACTAACAAGGGCAGACGTTCCAGTCAGTCATTTTCTCCAGAGCAGACTGCACAAAGTAGATTCTTTGGGTCTGTGAAGAGCATCTTGATTCTCACCTGTACAACAAAGGCTCTTGCTAATTTGACACCACTGATAGAGGGGACTGTAGGATGAGACTGACTGGCACCTCTCTGGTGCATACTGCAAGTAAAGGATGATGTATATGGCAGAAAAGGGGGGCGCCTGGTGCAGATGTGACTGCTGCATCCCCTATTCTGACACCACTGAATGGGGAGATCTGTCATCAGCTGGGGGATGAGAGATTTGCTTATGTTTGTGATCAGAATGAAAGGTATGCTACTTTAAAGGAACTCATGCAGAGTTTTTATATATTGTAAGGATTATGGGAAGACCGGAATGCCAGGCTGACTTACTGCAGTCCTGTGATCTGTTCTGTTCTCTGAGAAGTTCTGTTTCCCAGGTTTCTAAATGCTTGATCTTTGGTTGTGTATAACAGACAGGATATATTTTCATGTTTGGTACTTGTATAGCAAAATCAATTTATGCAGCCATTTACACATTCAGATCAGTCCGTGCCCTGAAGAAGCTTACATTCTAAGGTCCCAATCTCGCATACATACAGAGCCAATTTAGACATGAGCCAATTAACCTACCAGCATGTATTTGTAGTGTAGGATGAAACGCATGCAAGCACAGGAAGAACATGCAAACGCCTAGCAGATAGTGTCTTGAGTGGGATTTCAACCGGGGACCCCCAGTGCTGCAAGGCAGAAGCGCTAATCACTATACCTCTGTATATATTCTGCCGTGGAGGTTAAGGCATCATCAATGACTAGCAGCAGGATTTGGAATTTGAATATTCTTGCATCAACATTTGTATCATTTGATTGTTATATTAGATGCACAAGCTACTGTTTCTCATTGGGAGCTGATGACTTAGCAGTTGCAGTCATTGTAATATCTTCTATCAGATGACACTCCTACACACTGCTGACTGCAAATGTACACAGCTGGAAAATTGACTTTTTTTTCCTTTTAATCATGGCATTTGGAACTCCTGTTAAGCACAAAGACCAGCTGTACATAACCTAACATCATATCACTTCTTGTTTAAGCACAGAAGCCATTTAAATGCTTTGATACAGTTGAAGCTATTTCAGTGGAGCATGTTTAAAATTTGGCAAACGTGATGTGATGTGAAGTGGAGGAACCGGGTCAGAGTTAGGTGGAAATATTAACAGTTCTCATTTTGACATATTTAGTCTATCACAGCAGAAAGCCATGCGGGAAGTTACTGTAGTCTAACTCTCGGTTATTTTTGTCTGAACTGTTAGGGTAAGGTTAAGTGTGAATCTGTGAGTAAAATATAATCATCTGTCTAGTACATTGTTAATTATGTAAGACAGGCTGCTTTAATTAGCACACACTACCCCACAACTGGGAATTAGTGTGGGTGTATTTGTAACTAACAAAATAGAATGCCTGAACAAGGGACATGTCTCATGTTTTCCCAGACTTGACAGTATGATGCAATTACCTAGGGTTACTGGAGGGTTTGTGCGTGTTGGATGTGGGGCTGGTTTAACGCTGAACCCCAGCAATTATATAAAACACAAATTAATGCAGCTCTGTATTCATTAACACATCATTAAATGCATATATTTTTTTAATGCAAGTAGTGTAAGAATCTAAATTTGACATGGTATTGGCCTCCTGCAGAAGAGATCACATTGGGAGAGAGATGCAGCACAAGGAGCCAATCAGTTGTGCTGCAGTGTTGATGTGCTAAATAAGGAACATGCTGGGGGAGAGAGCAGTCTGATAAGTCAGTTTCTGTTTTCACTACCTGGTATTTACTTTTTTTTTTTTGAGTTAAAGGAGAATTATGAGGCAAGTGATTTTCACTCAGCCTCATAATCTGAGCCGACCTGTGACAATGAAACTGTCACAGGTCGGCTCAGTAGATCGGGCAGTGAGCAAACACATACCGTCGCTCGCTCACTTCTCGTTCTATCCCTGCAGAGAGCCGTGACTGTCACTCACGGCTCCCTGCAGAGATCCCCCCCTCCACTGTCCGATCCTCCAGCGCCGACTGGCGAAACGGACGGGACGGGCACAGCTGGCTCTGCCTCTGGATAGGCAGAGCCAGTTGTCAAACCCGCAGCTGGGTGGATCCAGACTGTATTGTCGGGATCTGTCCCGGCTGCGGCGTCTCAGTATACCGCTAGCTGTAGCTCACAGTATACTGAGCTTTGGGTGACGGGAGGACGCTAGTTTGTGTTCTCCCGTGACCCTTAGGAGAACTATGGGGAAAAGACCTGACCTTAAGTTTAGAAATAAAAACACACCTTGGACTTCTGCATTTTGCTTTTCTGGCTCTATCATATATAAACTTCCACAGAATAAAATCTATTCAAGGTGAAAAGTTCTTAGGCATTCTACTCAATGTTTGGTGCACCCAAAACAGAGCATGCTGAGCCAGTTGTAAACCCGGCGCTCGGCTAAGTAACCTCGAATATTCATACCTGTTCCCAGCATAGAAAAACATTGCAAGTGCTGTATACTTTTACACATAAATGGACAATAATTAGAGGTCTTCCCACTGTGCCCTTCTCTTTTTTCATGTCCTCTACTGCATTTAAAGCTGAATGGCAATAAAATATATGGGCACTAGTTACATAAATACCTCTAAGAAGAATCTCCTGTGTCCTGCTGGCTCCTGGTTACTGTAAAGAATTGTTCTTCACGCCAGACTTTCTACACAACTGTGATCTTCCCACGCTGCAAGCACGACAGATATGACTGTGAAAATATCGAACTGTTCGTCCTCCCCTTTACTGTCCCCTCACCCATTCACAAAACCCCCTATTATTTTCTTATAATGATAATGCAAGGCATTCTGTGAATGGAGGAAAGGGATCCAGCCATTCATCCACCCCTTGTCTATTCACAGATGGATAACCAGTGTTTTGTTTTGTTCCGTTCCACCAGCATCTATATTATTCTGGCAATATACTGTAATAATGGAAGTCAGCGTTGCATGGCGACAAGATGCTCCCTATGCAAGCAATATATTTTTCTCCTCCTCGTCTTTGTGTTTTAAGGGGAAAAGCCAGTTTCAGACCTGCCAGTATGCTTGGCCATAAAAAATAGACTATTTTTTTAAAGTGAGTGTGACGGACTGAACCGTCGCTGGGAGTGCTGGAGGGGCCTGAGGGCTTGCCTCCTTCCTACTGACTATGGACCTAGAACTATGGAGACCCCCTCAGACCTCTTGGGGTTACATGCACCCATTCTCCTAGGTTTATGTGTGGAGTGAAAATTCTGCATGTTTCCCCTGACATTACATTTAAGTGACCCTGTGTTCAGTATAGGCAGCAGGCTGTCTGGAGGGGCCATTGTTTAGAGTGATGGGATCAAGCCATTATCTAATTAAGGACTTCCAATGCGGCACCTGGCTGTCTAGGGGAGGGAACATACTGCACTCCTATCTGATTCTGTGAGGTATAAACTCTGTGTGCTTTCTTCAATAAAGCATTTCTTGGTTTCCACTTCAACATTGGTATTGTCTGATGTTTGAGGAGTTTAGCTTTCTGTCCTAATATATTGGTTCTGTCCAATAA